CAAAAATAGCATGACTGCTTGACACGACTCAGGCGTGATTTGTMTGTTTTTTAATCTGAGACAGAGTGTACCGCTTTGAGAAGCAGATTCGAATATAAATTCAAAGTGGTATGAAAGTTTTCTGCTAAATTGCTTCACGGTCTAGAAAAAATTGATTGAAGGACTTCATTCCCGTCTAATTCGATTTCAAATTGACCTACTCGCAATACTGTAATCATTTCTGAATTAGAAGATTTATATATTAATTGACTCCGTGTAATACATACTGTAATGAGTATGTTAGTAGAAAAATGTCAAAAATTATATTGAATGCCCAGCCGTACTCTGCAAATCGATACTCCCTAAAGTTTTAACTCAATTAAGCTGTCCTATCTGTGAGCTCATTGGTTTAATCTCGTGTAAAATGCAGGCATGTGCGCTGATTATTGAAAATGGATCAATAACATAATTGGTTGGAGATTTGTTACTGAGTTTCGGAGTGGTAATCGATCGAAGAAATCCATCTTTCGGTTACTAGTATACAGCGTATATTATATTTTTATGGCAACCTTGAAAACTTGGTTTAAAAAGCTTCAACTTGGAATGGAAAATCCACGATTTTTTATTAGTACACCACCATTTTAATAGATTGCATACAATATACAATAAAGGCAAAGAAAAGATCGAAACAGTAAACTTGACCCATCAAACCTACGCCGTAGGAGGGAAACAAATTTTTACTAAGGTGTTATCTGTATCGATTATCTGTGACTGTAAGAACATGGAATGGTCACAGAGCTATAGTGTAAATTACTGTATCGGTTCCACGCAGAATTGCAGAATKAATAATGGGGTCCGAAAAAAATAGTACTCTTCCATTATGAGAACGTATCAGCATCTCCTTCGGCGGCAAGGAAAAATGGTAGAATTTGGTTGCGAACTGTTTTTCAATCCACTGTACACTCCACATGTATCTCCTTCCTACTTCTATTGTTAAAATATTTAGTCTTATTTTCTTCCTTTTCATCATTCAATAGATGAAGTTTAAATACTATATAACATTATGTCAAGACAGTATCTTGATGTATGTTTGAACTAATATGGCGCTGGCACGAGTTCGAACTAGGTCTGTCATTCAAAGTTGTTAACTACATATAAAGCTATCTTGTTAGGGTTGATCCCTAATTTAGAAGGGTATTGCCGAAATTTTTTTAATGTAAAGAACATAAGAACTCTTGCTAAAAGTTAACTAACCAGTATAATGGTAACCACTTATAAGGTTGAGGCGAAGTGAAATTCAGTGTTATTCAATTTGAAATTAGTRTTTCCCAATTTCTAATAGAGAAGCAGATTTGTGATTGGTTCGAGGCGCTTTGTCGATAYAGGAGAACGACTTTTTCTAAATTCTAAAATGGCTATGCAGACAGTGTGACTTGAGACAACGATTTTTCACGTTCCTCGAAATATTTTTCATAAGCACTTTTTGGAATGGCCTTCAGCTCCTTCAGCGAATTTTGTTTTATCTCTTCGGTCGACTGAAAAAGTATGTCACGGAGCGGCAATCTCAGTTTGGGAACGAGAAAAAATCACATGAAGTCAAATCTGGTGAACATGGCGGTTGATCGGTGGTTTTCATTGCGTTTTTATCTTTAAATTCGGTCACAATCGTAACTCGATGCGATGGTGCATCATCATCTTGTAAATCCACGAATTGTACTGTCACAATTCCGGCCGTTTTCGAAGGTTGTTATCACGCAAACTCCTTGATACTGCCAAATGAAACTCCGTATTGAGCGTCAGCCSTTTCGGAACAAATTCATTATGCATCAAATTACGAATATCGAAAAAATGCAATGAGCATTACCTTGATTTTTGGACAGCTTTGGCGTGGTATTTGGTTTCAGCTCTTYCATTCCTTTATTTGTTGCTTTGTTTGCATGCCAAGCTCATAAACCCATGTCTTATCGGCAGTTATAAAGCTCTCCATGAATGTGGAATCGGAAGGAACTTTTTATGGCACTCTTTCTGAAAAAATTTCAGCTTTATACGGACGAGTGGAGCAGAAACGCATTTCATAAAAAAATTATCCAAATCATTCGACCGGACTCGCGAGTGGTGTCGAGCTCTTTTGCCGTCTCTTAAAAATTTACCTGAAGATTTTCAAACGCTATATCCTTAACATTTTTAAAATTTTCATCAGTTGAAGATGTCGAATGTCGTCGAGAACGAGGCATGTCTTCAGCGATCTCTCGACCCTCTTTGAAGGCCTTATACCACTCGTAGGCATATGTTTTTGATAAAAACTCTATCACCGTACACCTTTTTCAACATTCGCAATGAATCACAACAGGTGAAGGTCTAACTAAACCTAAACTACTTACCTAATCTGTACCTTAGTCATCTATACTTAGCTTACAAGTAAAAAGCGCCACCTCGCCATCRTCGTACACCTAATGTCTTAAGGTGGTTTAATCTGTGAAAAGGGCTTGTTGTAATATAAACAAATTCTTTTACATATTAGCTTTATGACTTCTTCTTTTAAAAATAGTAAAAAGAAATCCAAAATTATTTGTATAAAAGACGTTTATTCAAACTCGTTTATCGTGTTCAAGTCAAAGTTACATTCATAAAACACTACACAGTAAAAAATACATACTTGGTATTATTTTGTTGACTTACACATAGTTACATATGCACTTCGCATATCTAAATATAGCACACTCATACACACATATAGGTGTGTCCATTAATRTATATGCTTTTACACTTAAACGAGCACAAACTTTAGTAAATGCTTACAACTAATTATCAAAGTGTTTAAGTATGCATTACTTAGTATGAATTAAGTTAATTTAAGTAGATAATTAGCGTGTGTCGTTTAAAATACATCAACTAAAATCGCCATATCGTTATTTATATGGATTGGTGTGGGTTTAATGGCCTTCTTTATGTCTTCTATATGTGAGTATTAAAATTCATCAGTGTGAAYGGCGCATTATGTCGACGAAAGTGTGTGTTTAACTTAGTCTGATTTACGCACACGCATACGGATTTTTTATTTTAATTACGCGATTTCCTTTTCTATATTTATTTTCACTAACACTATGACATGTTGTGACATTTAGTAGACTTTAATTGAATAAGGGGCTTAACTATTTTGATTTTCTTATTTATTTATTAGTAATTAGTGAGTAGTGAGAGTGAGAGTACACACCTTTTGATTATTTAATTGGTTGCTCATTAGTTYGATTTATTTATTTTTTATTATTTTTTCAATTACTTATATAATAATTATGACAAATTTTTTATTTACGACTTATGTAATAGAAGAGATTAAAATATGCTTACGAGTTTGATTTATCGATTTTTAGGCTAAAACACGAGTTGATTACTGCTTAGAGTTGAATTAAATATTAAACATTAATTATTAATCATTGTTATTGATCATTATCAATCGTTGGCTTTACATATATACTTGATTTGCTTATATAAAAGTTTTGATGGCAGTGCTACATGGTATTGGTAAGTTCTTCTAAGTCTAATACACACATATCTTCGAAACATTTCATTGAAGTTTTTGCTTTGCAACMTTTTTTCATTTAATATTTTTTTAATATTTTTTTCTGAATTTTTGTCCACATTAATGCCATTGAAGCAACAGAACAACACACATATTTATTACACTTATCGCTTAAATGAATATAGGAAGCTTGTTTCTCAAATGCAACTGCGATTTATTTTACTTGTAAGTATCACAAGCCACATTTTGTGGGCGAGCGTGTGATTGGCAGTTATTGTGTAGTAAGTACTTTTGAGAACAGTTAATTGCACATTTAGAAACTATTTACATTTAACAATTAGTGTAAAATTCTTTTTGTTTCTTCAGCTGCTCGTGCTGCGCTGTTGGAAGATGGGTGTCAAAAATTACATAACTAGTCGGGAACTGATTTACAACCGGTTTGTAACTAGTTATATTTGGAAATACTTTTTATTTGATTTCTTTTATTATAATATACATGACAGTAGTCTTTTATTTTGATTAGATTTGCAGCGTGATGAAAAGTGAAAGCAACCAGTCCATAACTATGTAGTCCTCTTTGGATAAATTACTTTGTTTGATTTCTTACCTTGTACATGGAAAAACGGTTTTATTCTGATTTTCTTGCAATATAAAAAAGAACGTAGAAAAGTGCAAGTAACTAGTCCATAACTAGTCTGCTTTGGAAAAAGTTCAAAGTTTGATTTCGTTGCTTACATGACACTACAGTGTTATTTTGATTTTATTGCAGCATAAAGATTGGCGAAGGAAAGTAAATGCAACTAGTCCACAATTAGTACCATTTTATTTCGTTTACTATGCATATATTTTCGTTTCAGCTTTTCATTGCACAGCACTTAGTTTTATGATGCCCTTGAGTTTTGAAATTTGATTTTGAATGAAGAAGGAGCACAAAAGTAGGTAGTCCATATGTAACTAGTTCAATTTAACCWCGATTTTATTGGAAGAATTCTCTATTTTGATCTTATTTTTTTGTATTAAACATGGCCGAAACGTGTTTTCGATGTTCATGTAGTAGAAAATTGCTAAAATGCGTAATGTTACTCGAAAGTGGTCAATAACTGGGGCATAACTAGTTTCTTTTGGAGTCATTTCCGTTTCTGTTTTTCTCTAACTAACTTAAATGGCAGCATTCTACTTTGCAACTAGAGTGATATCGAAAGGTATGTTAATCAAAATACTAGAGACAATTCTTTATTTTTTGAAGATTCTTGTTTGACCTCTAAGCTTTTTAAACTACCACCGTCGAGTGTAGAATATATAATTTTTTACTGTTTTTCTTGGAATTTATTTTCGAAGAAAATATTTTTTATAAYACTTTCTGAATCCCGAAAYATTTCGGGATCCCGAACATTTAATTTWAAAATCCCGAAAACTTCATCATATTTATAAAAGATTTAGAATTTGTTTTCATAAAAAATTGTTATTYCGTGTTATTACAAGAGYAWRCKWATWMGCATCTGAAAAAACAGTAATGCATCCCGAACATATGCTTTCAAAACTTCTTTATTATTTATTTTGTAAATATTCTTGCTTGGACTCTAAGCTTTTTAAAGTACCACCTTCGAGTGTAGAAGATACAATTTTTTACTGTTTTTGTTAGATTTTTTTTTTTCAAAAAAATATTTATTGTTTGCTATTAAATTGTAATAACGTTTTTTATAACACTTTCTGAATCCCGAAACATTTCGGGATCCCGAATATATAATTTTAAAATCCCGAAAACTTCATAATATTTTATGAAAGATATAGAATTTATTTTCATAAACAATTATAATTAAGTGCTATTACAAGAGCTCACTAACACGCATTTGAAAAAACAATGAATGAATCCCGAACAATTGATTTACATACCTCAAAACTTCCAATTTAATACATTGCAGACCTATTTCCCAAATATTATTAATTTAGTGGGCTTGCAGGAACAAATTAATACTACTTCAAAAATCCCGAMAACTTGCTGGAGGTTTATTTACGATAAAGACATTTCCCATAAGAAATATTTATTGTGTGCGAWTACATTAAAATCTAATTCTCTCTGAGTAGCAGTTTATGATTACCGAAACATTTCGGGATCGCGAACACATTTACAAATCCCGAAAATTGCGAAATCCATTGAAAACTTTGGAATTTTTCATGAAAACAAACTTTTGATACTCTGAAGGTGAATCCCGAAATATTTCGCGATCCCGAACAAATGACTTTCAAATCCCGAAAACTTGGCCGGTAGTTATTACAGACTAAACATTCACGAAAATCGTTGTCACGCATTCTGCCACACTGCCATCAGTTTGTAATACCGTAAATATCTTCACATTCTCCYGCGCTACCCTTTCCTTGTACAGCAACTCATAATAAAAACATTTGTTTAACAGTACCTAATTCTTTTACGATTGAAACATTAAAGTCCACTCTACAAATTCGCAAAAAGCAGCTGCTAAACYGAAGAGAAAGCAGATCGCCATAAATGTTTAATAGCCTCACATCCGAAATTGCATAAAAATCAATTTCCTTTGCATTTAATGGAGGTCGTTGTCACGCCCTGATGCGCAGTGGCATTAAATTTGGGTGCAAAACTCACTTAAGATGGCAACACGAGGGAAGTACTGAGTAAGAGGCGACGAGCGCTGCTTGGGCACAGCTGCTGCGAGAAATACCAAAGTAAGTAAATATATAAATATTTGCTGCGAAACCTGAAACTTTTGCTAAATATGATGCTTAGTTGTTGGGAGTTTCGTTTAAATATTTTGATTTGCTACATTTGCTGCAACTATGCRCAACTTCTAACAATGTTTATACGTATATATAAAATGGATTTAAATGGACTCAAAACACTCGACTGAAATAAAGCTTCGTTCAAATATTTCCGTTTTCTCTAAACAAAATGAAAACAAATTTTTGCACTATTTTTGCATTAAATGCAACAAGATACAAGTATATAGTGTTTATTTTACTTTTGCTCCGCTTTGTTGCCAATTTACTTGACGAAAAGTAAGCAGCTTTGCAACTTTTCAAATAGTGCGCCTGAAACTATGCTACACTACACAAATACCGAATCGCATGCAAATGATGTGTGCGAGCTTACTGAAAGCTTGTATCGCTTACAGCTTGCTAACAATGTTGTTGCTGTTTTTACTATGGCTGTTTTCAGTGTTATTGTTTTCGTTGTTGTTGCTGCTTGCAACATTTTATTTGAAATCGTTCACTATTTTTGTATTTTATTTATCAAACACATTTCTGTATTTATTATACCAGTTACCGATACTCAGTTGCAAGTTCCACACACACCCACATGTATATATATAAACACATTTACATATACAATTTTACCACAACCGCAACCATGTGGGCGCCGCAACGAAACTATTCAACTGCACTTGCTGCAAATACTCGCTTTTTGCTAACTTTTTCCCTCCAGCTGCGGCCGCTGTGGCCGTTGTTGCTGCTGCACTCATGTTCTGCCTCTTGTTGCTTGCTTGTTGCAGTGCTAGTTAATATTTTAGCTGAAACTGTGTAGAGCAGTGCTTGTTGCATGCAACTGTTGCCATTGTGTTTGTTGCTGTTGCTGCCGCTAAGCGCGCTTGTATTTTTGCTACACGCGTTACAATTGTTGTTGCTGCGTAATTTTTTGTTGCTCTTCCTGCTGCAGCTGCTGTTGTTGTAGCCAGTGTTTGCAAAACGCGCTCGGTGGCGGCGCTAGAGTCGGTTGTTGTTGTTGCTCGTGCATTAAGTCGTTATATTGCTGCCATTGTTGTTGTCGCTGTTGTTGTTGTGAAAAATCTGCACTTAGCCGCCGCTGCTGCTCTTGTTCGACAAGCGCTAGTGCTCCCTCTATTGTGGTGAGTTTGCCAGCGTGTGCTGTTGGCGTTGTTGTTGTTGTTTGCTGCTCTACATGCGGCTATTGACGTCTATTGAATTTGGCTAATTCTCATAATTCCGTGCTCATTTCGCCGACTATTGCGCCCTACAAAACAATTAGTGGAAAAATTGCAAGATTAATATTGGCAGCAAGAAATTTGTAGTATTTTGTGGACAAAAGCAATGAGCGATTTGTGTTTTCGAAAGGCTTTGTTTGAGTGTTTGCATTTCTACTTTGTGAGTAATGTGTAGTTTTTCAAATATGTCTAGGTGGTTTCAATGGGAAAATGGTTTTCTTACGCTATTTGTTTACCGTTTTGTTTTTAAGTTTTGATTATATGCTACTGTGCGCCTTGGCGTATGAGTAATGTGCGGTTATGGGGGAATTTCTTATATAAAAATATTGTGTTAAATCTAGCAAATAACTACTAATATGTTTTTGAAGATAAATTATCTTGTTATTAATAAATAGAGCTGTGACAGCCTTGCTACTAATCTGCAGGTATTTCTACTGTGATGGTGTATCAGTGCGTATGAGTAATGCAAATGTAGTAGTGGTGATGCTGGTTTGAGTTATCATAAATATTAATAATACCCCAAATATTTAAGTAGTTATATTATATTATTAGCTTTACTAATAATCTAAATAAATTCTCTATAAAAAGTGTTTTTATTAAATAAACAATTTATGTATTGTATATGTAGATATATACAGGTATCTATAAATAAATATAAACATATTTTCTAAATACAAAATAAGCATACAAATTAGCAAAATATTGACTCTATTTCATAATGAATACAATTTTGAAGTCCTTAAAGGGGGAGCCTTTATCAGCCTTCGGGATGAATCGTCACCAGGCCCCTGTGATGCAGTTTGCATAGATAGGTGCCTACCAGTTGCATGACCACTTAGCAGCCTGCTGCGGCTGCGATGGTTTCATGCTTGCAGCACACCACGAGTTAAGAGAGGACATATTGCTCAGGAAGTGAACATAAATGATCATCCCAAGTGTATCTTCACTGCTTAGGACTCACTTTTCATTTGCTTGCTTAAGATAATCATGGGAATGGAGTTCTTTGCGAGGATACGCCTGAATCTGGTGGRCTCATGACAGTCTTCTTTGCTTTTTTTTATCTCGGACGTGCATTTTGCTATTGCAATATAACGCACAGTCTTCGGTTGACCCACTCCTAAGGGCCTTGTTGAATAAACGTCTACAGGATTTTCTGATTTCCGAGAGTTCTATTGCTCACCAGAGAGGCTTCTATCTGCGCTTCGGTGTTCGGTGGAAAGGAGCTCTATTGTGCAGTTTTACACGCCGAGTTAAAGTCAGTTCAGTGAAACAAAAAGTTCGCAAGAAATTCTAAGTATTGATCTCATRTTCTCACTAATGTTTTGGAGGACCACTATATGTGGAGGCTGTATTTTAAATACAAAAAAATTTTATGACTTAATAAAAAAGTAGATATGCCATGTAACCCCTCTTTTGAGATTTTCGGCATTACACAAGTAAATTAAGAAAACAAAAACAATAAATTGTGAATATTGTACTCAAAGCCACGCAGCCAACCAAAAGGAGAGACACACAGTCGGCAGCCCAACTGAAAATAACTCAATTATACAGTTATTTTGATTTTTTTCCTACAAATATTTGCAGAAATATTTTTTACGGAATTTTTTACAACTGATTGGTCGTTTGTTTTCCCTCCTTTTTACTGCTGCGTATTGAGCTTTCACCGAAATTTTATTAAGTGCCAGCAAATATAATAAATAATAAATAAATATTGCACAAAGTCTGAAATGGAAAAAAACAAAAACAACAAAAGCAAAAACAAAAACAAACAATGGTAATAAAACGCGACTGGTGGTCGTTGAACAAGCAAAAAGTATGAATAAAGGTAATAAAAAGTAGACAAACACGCCAGCGAGTGCAACAACAAGCTGCGCGTTTTACGGAAAAATTATTAAGAAGAAAAAAAAAACATAAATAAAGAAAATAGTATACAGTGCGAGTTTTATTTGTATTAAAAGCAAATACAAAGTATTTCGAAAAGGCTGCGTGCAAAAAGGCAAACGCAAATGAAAACTTTCGCCCAGCGAAACACACACACACGCACACACAAAGAGATATGAGCTGAGAGGGCGGGAAGTGGGCAACTGTTAGCGCGTGAGCACAAAACTGCCGCGTTARCAGTTTGAAAGTCGAAAGTCTCCGCCGGCAGGCAGTCAGCATCACCAGGCAGCGTCGGGGACGCAAGAAAATTTATGGACGCCACTAATGTAATTACTTAATTTAATAAATAAGCAGCTAAGGATGTACGATTGTTTTTTGTTTTTGTAGTATAGCGGGCGCGTGGGTGCACATACAACATMACACGCTCGTCTATAAGCCAAAGGAAGCTAAGCAAAGGCGCACAAATGGAACGCAGTTAGAAACTAAAAAAAAAAAGGAAAGATGTCAAAAGTAGCGAACTGCCCCGCACTTTTCATACCCCTTTAATGCTGAGTGACACATGTACATATATGCAATCGCATAACATGGGTTTGTGCTTTGGACCCGCTTAGTTGCGTTCAACATACTTGCTCTCTTACATTTCCGCTAGCAGTTGTATGCCAACTTTTGTGCTACATTCGTTTGTTGCCATTTACCATACGCTTTTGTCTCTTTGGCTGTCAGAATCTTCGGATTTATTAGGCAACTTAAATTGTTATCTTTGAAAATTTACAGAAATATTTATAAATCAAGAATGTTAAAGGCAAGAAAAGCGTCAACATAATTTGGCCTATTTTAAAAAGGGATATACATTTGTAAGAAAAGCTCATAGAAATCTCAAAATTCTCATTATTCCATGCCTCTGCAMCATRTAGCAGAACGGGGATGATGAGTSACTTGTRGAGTWTGGTCTTTGTTCGTCCTCTCTATARWCCTMTCTCGACGAACAAAGAACATTTGGATATTAACTCTTAAAAAATCTTAGATTTATTTTTTTGCTACATTTATATTTCTGATATTTAATGAGGATGTCTTCAAAGTAGGAAATTYGAGGTATTTTAGTTATATTTGGCGAGACATTCGCGAGGGAAGTTTGGAGATGATTCTATAACATCTTCTTTCAAGAAGCTTATATAACTTGAATCTAGTAAAATTTTCAGTCTTATAGCATGAATTCCAAGTGGGCAATATTCAGTTAGAATTTCTACAGCCATGCAAAGATGGATTTTGCTGAGAGTGAAAAGCTCACTGTAAAGGTCCAACTTTTAAGTTCTAATGCTGCAGTACCGGAAATACCTTACCTAGTAAGCTCATCATCTTTCCGGTTTTCTGAAATGCCACTGTGATCAATGCGGTAACTCGATGCCAGAGATGAGAAGTTGAGACATCCCTTTACTAGTCTTGAACGTACGGTCAGCGAGATTAAAGTTAATATCGCTCTAGTTACTCTTCCGTTACCATATCTAACGCTGTGTGTGAGCACAGGAAAGTATGCCAGGATTTAAGGACTTATCACCAGCATTCAATTATTTCGTCTTTGCAACAAAAACAAAAAAAAAAAAAAGATATTAAAAAAGTGTTTTTATTTTTTCAGAAAATATGTGTGTATAACCGCTTAACCAATGTTGCAAGACAATTTATGGAACTGTTGTGAGGATATTATTGAAAAAAAAAAAAAATCGCCGACACATAATAATGGCCTGATAAATGTAATGGTTAAGGTATTATCATTGTTTGGTGCACTATGAACTCATTCCGCCGTGTTCACTAGTCTATAATAAATATTTGTTTCGAGTCGTTTGCGTCAAGCTATTCATCTGCAATATTCATATTGATAATTCGACTTCTGGCGACGTCTGACTATTCAGCAAACTCAAAAAGCCAATGCAGCGATTCATTTTTTATTACAATAGTATGTGTGGAACGTCTTATATTGTCGCAAATTTAATAGGGAGAGGGTGTTTCTTTTTGTTATATTGCACAATATTTCATGAAAATATATTATGCATAGATATGCATTTTATAAAGTTATATTGTACAATATTTCAGAAAAATTTACTTGGTGATTAAATTAAATCACAAACATGTATTGCACAGGATTTTCCAATTATATTGCGCAATATATTGTGCAATATTTTATAAAATTTTCTTATATTGCACAATATTTCATGAAAACTTCTATTTGACTTAAGTATTTCGTAAACAAGTCTTGTATAGTGATTTATAAAATTATATTGTACAATATTTCGTACAAAATGTTAGAAAAATTTATTTCTTGATTAAATTAAATCATAAACAAGTATTGCAAAAGATTTTTTCAAATTATATTGCGCAATATTTGCACAAATTTTATGAGTACAGCCGCAATTATTTAAGCCAATAAAACACAGAAGGATTTTGGAAATTACATTTTTTTAAATTAAAAATGATCATTTAATTTGAAAAACCAACGTCCTTACTGAATAAAACTATCTGCAAGAAGCAGTCGAAAACAAAGTTTTTGATGCGATTTTTATACTTTTTAAATCTGATTCTTTAAGTCTATAACAGTGTAGTATTCCACAAACAGTCAAGCCACACACACCTGTCAACCGCGCATCTGTATTTAGCGCGCGTCTAAAATGTTGACCCACTCCCGTTCCCTATAAAGTTTGTGCCAGAATAACTTTTCACTTTTTCCACGTTAAAGTGTATTAATAAAGAAGGTAAGTCGAAGTAGAATGTTGCGCTAAATAAAACTTCGAAGTTATCTCTATTTTGAGCGGCGCGCTTTGGCAATGCCGCTTTTGTGCCCTTCCGCTTTCATTATTCGCATTCCACTGGCGCACCCATACAATACACGCTCTTTCTGAATTGTGTCAGCTATTTCTAGCGCAGCTTTGTGCAATCTCCCTTTTTCCGCTGCTCAATTGAATTGCATTTTCATTACTTTTTCACTTTTTTCAATTTCAAAGTTTCGTCTTACATTGCGCGTTGAACTTTTGCGGCACACTCGCGCCGGTTCTCTGTTGCTTTTCGTTCTACACGCGCATCGAGTTGCGTTGCATTGAATGAAAGGCGCATTCGTCGCGTTCAGCTTATGCTCGATTATTTACTTATTTTCTTTCGT